TTCTTTGTTAATAACAAAAAAATCCCCCGCGCGGGGGGGGGGGGGTGTCTCTAGTTTTCGGAGGATCCCACGTGTAGTCCTGAGGCTTCCTGTATTGCTTTGCTCCTCCTGTGCATTCTGGTGAGTCTCCGGCATTTATACACCTGTGTGCCCAAAGCATTCTGGGTGATCTCTCCTGTGTGCCCAGCACCCCAGAGACTTTGGGACTCCTGTCTTCTCATGAGTCCTGTACCCCGGCGCTTCCATAAACTGTTACTCCCCTGTGCCCTCATGTGTGTTCAGCACTTCAGTATCTCGGGAGTATTTCTGGTATTGGGTCAGCTGTAGCCTGACTTGCCTGCTGCTTGGCCTGACTCCACTGATCCTCTGCCTGCCCTGACCTTGCTTATCCCCTGCCTGTTTCCTGGCCTGACTCTGCTCATCCCCTGGCTGCTGCCTGGCCTGACTCCGCTGATCCTCTGCCTGCCCTGACCTTGCTTATCCCCTGCCTGTTTCCTGGCCTGACTCTGCTCATCCCCTGGCTGCTGCCTGGCCTGACTCCGCTGATCCTCTGCCTGCCCTGACCTTGCTTATCCCCTGCCTGTTTCCTGGCCTGACTCTGCTCATCCCCTGGCTGCTGCCTGGCCTGACTCCGCTGATCCTCTGCCTGCCCTGACCTTGCTTATCCCCTGCCTGTTTCCTGGCCTGACTCTGCTCATCCCCTGGCTGCTGCCTGGCCTGACTCCGCTGATCCTCTGCCTGCCCTGACCTTGCTTATCCCCTGCCTGTTTCCTGGCCTGACTCTGCTCATCCCCTGGCTGCTGCCTGGCCTGACTCCGCTGATCCTCTGCCTGCCCTGACCTTGCTTATCCCCTGCCTGTTTCCTGGCCTGACTCTGCTCATCCCCTGGCTGCTGCCTGGCCTGACTCCGCTGATCCTCTGCCTGCCCTGACCTTGCTTATCCCCTGCCTGTTTCCTGGCCTGACTCTGCTCATCCCCTGGCTGCTGCCTGGCCTGACTCCACTGATCCTCTGCTTACTGCCAAGCCTGATAGAACATACAGCACAAGGTAGTGTTCACACTATGAGACGTTTCTCTGGGTTCCAGTTCCTCTGGGCTTTGAAGATCAGCGGAGGGATCCACAGAGCTCTGTGAGGATCAGGAGATCGTCTCTCTCTGGGACGTGTCGCTGTCTGAAGAAGACTTCATCCTACACACTACGAGACGTTTCTCGGGGCTGCCGTTCCTCTGGGCTCTGGAGATCAGCGAGGGGATCCACAGAACTCTGTGAGGATCAGGAGATAGTCTCTCTCTGGGACGTGTCGCTGTCTGAAGAAGACTTTATCCTACACACTACGAGACGTTTCTCGGGGCTGCCGTTCCTCTGGGCTCTGGAGATCAGCGAGGGGATCCACAGAACTCTGTGAGGATCAGGAGATAGTCTCTCTCTGGGACGTGTCGCTGTCTGAAGAAGACTTTATCCTACACACTACGAGACGTTTCTCGGGGCTGCCGTTCCTCTGGGCTCTGGAGATCAGCGAGGGGATCCACAGAACTCTGTGAGGATCAGGAGATAGTCTCTCTCTGGGACGTGTCGCTGTCTGAAGAAGACTTTATCCTACACACTACGAGACGTTTCTCGGGGCTGCCGTTCCTCTGGGCTCTGGAGATCAGCGAGGGGATCCACAGAACTCTGTGAGGATCAGGAGATAGTCTCTCTCTGGGACGTGTCGCTGTCTGAAGAAGACTTTATCCTACACACTACGAGACGTTTCTCGGGGCTGCCGTTCCTCTGGGCTCTGGAGATCAGCGAGGGGATCCACAGAGCTCTGTGGGGATCAGGAGATCGTCTCTCTCGGACGTGTCGTTGTCTGAAGAAGCTGAAGACTTCCTCCTACACACTACGAGAGGTTTCTTGAGGCTGCAGTTCCTCTGAGCTCCACAAGGTGGTGATGGCAACAAATACCCAGACAGGAAGTCTCTATGGAAAACAGACAGGAAGTGATGTCACATATAAATAGGAAGTCATAGCTGTGAGGTGATTTTGGAGGAAGTAGAGAGGAGACATTGCTGGAAGTGGCAGCAGAGGAGGTGAGAAGATATTATTTTATATGTGAATATTCTAATGTGGATGTTTCCGGTGGTGATAGATATATGGGAAGTGCACGCCGTACTGATATCTAATGTCTCTCCTACGGGGTGGATACATTATAACGCCATCAGAAGTCTACCGATCTCTTTCCCGGAGATCCCTCCTCATATACGAGAGAGAAGATACGAGACAACGAGTACCAAACCCAACCCAATATAACACAGGAGTAGTATTGTATTGTCACACGGGCCGACCTTATAATCACCGAGCCCGGCACGGAGGTACAATGGTGACTCTACGGCACTCCGTATACCTCTATGTAGGGTCTGTATCTTCATATGTCAAGAATAGGGCAAAATATCTCCGTCTGATGGCTACAAAATAACCAGAAGTTCCACCTTTACTAGGCACCGAGACAACCTCAAAAAGTCTACAGAATAGAATATGTGGTGTCAGGAAGGTCAAGATGGTCACCTGTCGTTGACGTAGTATTTTTTGTGGGGTGGAGGGAGTCATGTGATGAGCTGCTCCCGCCTCCTCACATGCAGGTACAATTCTGAGCAGGTTAGTGAATTACTCATCTCGTTCACTGGAGGTGTGGTCGACATTGATGGAACATTCCCCTTCTCCAGCCTTAACTGTCCAGGTACTGTCAGAATTGGAGCTCGTTATTAGGGGGGTTTGATGAGGTCATCACTGGGAGGAGCTGACATAGATGCTCCCCCTCCCAATGTCCTCCATCCAGAGTCACCACATCCTATGACCTCACACTGACCTCACATCTCCTTCTCCCCAATGTCCTCCATCCAGAGTCACCCCATCCTATGACCTCACACTGACCTCACATCTCCTTCTCCCCAATGTCCTCCATCCAGAGTCACCCCATCCTATGACCTCACACTGACCTCACATCTCCTTCTCCCCAATGTCCTCCATCCAGAGTCACCCCATCCTATGACCTCACACTGACCTCACATCTCCTTCTCCCCAATGTCCTCCATCCAGAGTCACCCCATCCTATGACCTCACACTGACCTCACATCTCCTTCTCCCCAATGTCCTCCATCCAGAGTCACCCCATCCTATGACCTCACACTGACCTCACATCTCCTTCTCCCCAATGTCCTCCATCCAGAGTCACCCCATCCTATGACCTCACACTGACCTCACATCTCCTTCTCCCCAATGTCCTCCATCCAGAGTCACCCCATCCTATGACCTCACACTGACCTCACATCTCCTTCTCCCCAATGTCCTCCATCCAGAGTCACCCCATCCTATGACCTCACACTGACCTCACATCTCCTTCTCCCCAATGTCCTCCATCCAGAGTCACCCCATCCTATGACCTCACACTGACCTCACATCTCCTTCTCCCCAATGTCCTCCATCCAGAGTCACCCCATCCTATGACCTCACACTGACCTCACATCTCCTTCTCCCCAATGTCCTCCATCCAGAGTCACCCCATCCTATGACCTCACACTGACCTCACATCTCCTTCTCCCCAATGTCCTCCATCCAGAGTCACCCCATCCTATGACCTCACACTGACCTCACATCTCCTTCTCCCCAATGTCCTCCATCCAGAGTCACCCCATCCTATGACCTCACACTGACCTCACATCTCCTTCTCCCCAATGTCCTCCATCCAGAGTCACCCCATCCTATGACCTCACACTGACCTCACATCTCCTTCTCCCCAATGTCCTCCATCCAGAGTCACCCCATCCTATGACCTCACACTGACCTCACATCTCCTTCTCCCCAATGTCCTCCATCCAGAGTCACCCCATCCTATGACCTCACACTGACCTCACATCTCCTTCTCCCCAATGTCCTCCATCCAGAGTCACCCCATCCTATGACCTCACACTGACCTCACATCTCCTTCTCCCCAATGTCCTCCATCCAGAGTCACCCCATCCTATGACCTCACACTGACCTCACATCTCCTTCTCCCCAATGTCCTCCATCCAGAGTCACCCCATCCTATGACCTCACACTGACCTCACATCTCCTTCTCCCCAATGTCCTCCATCCAGAGTCACCCCATCCTATGACCTCACACTGACCTCACATCTCCTTCTCCCCAATGTCCTCCATCCAGAGTCACCCCATCCTATGACCTCACACTGACCTCACATCTCCTTCTCCCCAATGTCCTCCATCCAGAGTCACCCCATCCTATGACCTCACACTGACCTCACATCTCCTTCTCCCCAATGTCCTCCATCCAGAGTCACCCCATCCTATGACCTCACACTGACCTCACATCTCCTTCTCCCCAATGTCCTCCATCCAGAGTCACCCCATCCTATGACCTCACACTGACCTCACATCTCCTTCTCCCCAATGTCCTCCATCCAGAGTCACCCCATCCTATGACCTCACACTGACCTCACATCTCCTTCTCCCCAATGTCCTCCATCCAGAGTCGCCCCATCCTATGACATCACACTGACCTCACATCTCCTTCTCCCCAATGTCCTCCATACAGAGTCACCCCATCCTATGACATCACACTGACCTCACATCTCCTCCCCCCAATGTCCTCCATCCAGAGTCACCACATCCTATGACATCACATTGACCTCACATCTCCTCCCCCCAATGTCCTCCATCCAGAGTCACCACATCCTATGACATCACACTGACCTCACATCTCCTCCCCCCAATGTCCTCCATCAGGGTCACCCCATCCTATGACATCACACTGACCTCACATCTCCTCCCCCCAATGTCCTAAAGATTCCATAAAGGCTGCAGAATACAGAGTAACAATATCTAAGAGGATGGAAAAAAGGAGCCTGGCTGTAGCCCAGGTGGTCAACCACAGGGATCACTGGACAGGATCCACAGTTGAAATGTGGAAGGAGTCTCTGGTCTGGATGTCCAGGTAGAGGCTGGAGTCTCAAGACCACCCCACCATGAAGAAGGCCGTATTCCATGGCCACCACAGTGACTGGAGCTTAAGATAAAGCTGAGTGGTCTTGTGCTCCTATACGGTGGCCCCCACACCAAGAACAATGAACCCTTTCCCACAGGATCAAGGGAAGAAATGAAAGAGGCCTGCACCAACTGCAGGAAAAGGTGAGTATAGAGGAACTCCACCACACTACTTAATAAGACAAGGTCCAGAAACACCTAACCGGCCAGCAGGACAAACGGTAAGAGGCTCCCAGACCCAAAGCAATTAAATATGATCCAACTGGACACCAGAGATCCTCCTACATCCCCACCTCCATGTCACCTCCCGATCTCCTCCTCCTATTATTGTACAACCAACACAATCCGGATCATTCTCTGATATCAATGTTATCTGTCTACAGGGAGACCTTCATAGAGGACTGCACCAATGATGGAGGAGGACCGGAGTCACATGACCGAGAGGATACTAAACCTCACCCTGGAGATCATCTACCTGCTGACCGGAGAGGTGAGGAGGATTCTGGGAGGTCACATGACCTGACCGGAGAGGTGAGGAGGATTCTGGGAGGTCACATGACCTGACCGGAGAGGTGAGGAGGATTCTGGGAGGTCACATGACCTGACCGGAGAGGTGAGGAGGATTCTGGGAGGTCTCGGAGAGGTGAGGAGGATTCTGGGAGGTCACATGACCTGGCCTGAGAGGTGAGGAGGATTCTGGGAGGTCACATGACCTGACCGGAGAGGTGAGGAGGATTCTGGGACTCTAACATGATGTTCCTATTGGTTTCTCCATCCAGAGTTTTCTTCTTCTAAAGTCTGGTGATCATGTGACCATCACAGCGCCCCCATGTGA